GATCAAATCCCAGTCGAGGACCTTTCTGGGTGGAGTTTGCATGTTTTCTTCGTGCATGACTGGGTTTCCTCCCACAGACCAAAAACATGCACGTCAGATTGGTAACTAAATTGTCCCTAGGTGTGAGTAAATGGTTGTTTGCCTCAATGTGGACTTGTTATGGACTGGAGACCTGTCCAAGATGTCCCCCACCTCTCGCACAGTGACTGCTGGATATGAGCACCAGCGACCCCCATGACCCAAAAAGGAAGATACGGGTAATGTTTTGGTTCGGTGCCCTGAGACGACTTCTGTTGTGACTTGGCGCTATACAGCGGTGCAGTCGATGTGATACACAGAGTACACAGAGTACACAGAGTACACCCACTAGAAAAGTTTGGGAATTTCAGTATACCCACCTAAAAGTGTCCATTGACATGTGACGTGTTATTGGGCGTGTGTCATTGTCAACACATGTGGAACATTTTATAAACACACTGAGTTGATTCAACCTGTTTTTTTGTATAATTAATACTTCTGTACTTAATACTTGAACATGTTTTTCTTTTATAAAATCTATAACATGTTACAAAGCCAACTGCTGTACAAAGTTTGTTGGACATTTATTCAAATATAAGCATCAGACACATTTTGAAATGTTCAATATGCTTAAAAAAATCAAAATAAATCGACGACTACATTGTACTAACCGGAGTACTTCGGTTTCTACAGTATACCCAGTACAAATATGTAGACTACACCACTGGTGCTATATAAATAAACTGAACTAAACTGAATTAAAGATAATGGATGGATGGGTCATGTGATTATTTTGCTAACAGACATGCATGCACACACAAACGCACAAAGCAGCACCTACAAATGTTTGGGTGCCATCTGGTGAACAAAACAGAACATTACCCTTTTTCCTTTTTGTTCTTGTCAAACCTGAAGTCTGGAGGATACTTGTGAATTCTTATTAGATGGTCTTTTCTTTGTATAGTGGTCCTAAACTTCAGTCCACATCCCTCCACCAAGCACAAGTACTGAAAAATACAACATGAGAGCAAATCAGCTTCAACACAGCGTTGAAGATTTACCTTTAAATAATGTGTAAACCACCGACTTTACATTATTTGTTTTACTAAAAGTTTAAGAGCGTGGGAGTCTGGAGCGTACCATGTCTTGTTTTGGGGCGAGGAGAGCGAAAAGAGAATCGTGCCACTCCTGGATGTGAATGTCCAGGAGCCGGGCGCTCGGCAGGGAGCGGCGGCAGGAGCAGCACACGTGTCTGTGCAGCGAGTTGTAGTGGTGCTCATAGTCGTCCAAAGAACTGAAGACAGCGCTGCAGCCCCAGATGTGACAGGCAAACTCTGACACGCTGGGGAGAGGTGCGGAGATTATGGAGATTATTCGATTTTGTGAGTCATACAACTGCAGTGGAGCAGCCTTGTCAGTTGGTGTGCATTCATGAAGGACTTCAAAGTAGTCCTTGTAAAGTGGTTAATATGTCCTTAAAATAAAACTTTGTAAGCAAAATTTGTGAACGGCTGCACACCATGTTTACTTAGGTTGATGTTTTTCATTTCTGACGCGTTCAGCAGCAGATTCACTCTTATATTTTCAACCTGTGCAGGTAAACTCTCTTGTTTACCTGCACAGCCTCAATCACACAACTCGAGGTTCCATGTGGTTTTTTGTCAGATTCAACCCTTTATTTATGTCAGGTGTGGACCCGCATTTCAGAATAGCAACGATATAATTTGAAAACTATTGTTATTGTTGTTGAATTTCATACTTTGCAATGAGTAGCTTTTAATTTAAAAAATACAGACAGAAATTAGACATAGCCAAACAGCACTCCTGTGAAATAACCTCTATTTATATGGCTCCCAAAAATGTGGTGCCGCTGTCATTCAAGATAATTTAATAATAAATGTTATTATTCAAATTAAGTTGAAGTTTCACACATTAGAAACGCTTCATGGCGGTTTTGTATTTGATTTAATCTCTTGTATTCTCATTTAAAGGTTTGTTTTTCCAGCCCATGTTGTTTCTTATAAACAGACACTAATAACGGTGATGAGCTCCAATCATACCTGAGCGCTGCTTTGTCTTCTACGTCTGAAATAAAGAAGTCCTGCAGGTACATGTGTCTGTGAATGTCTCCATCCTGTCAACAACAGAGTAAGACAAAGATTGTAGCTAACGTTCAGACAAACTTTGTATCATTCGAGATCATTTGTTACCTCAAACAGTTCGTGGTCCTTGTGCAGGCGGATGAGCTGCGGCGTGAAACTGAAAGGGTTCTCCACTTCCGGGTGCGTCATTTCAGCTCCTCTCGGACGGTTTTCAGCTCCGCTCACCGGGTTTACGACTTCAGCAACGTGTTGGGTTAAGTCTGGCTGTAGCATCGTTTACGGACCTTGTTTAGTGACGCAAAATTATGATAATGCCGACCTACAAAATAACTCACGTCTGACTGTCGCGCAGGAGTTTGTTTTCTCTTGAATTATTTCAAAACGGTTAAAACGAATTTGCGTTGGCCGGGAATCGAACCCGGGTCAACTGCTTGGAAGGCAGCTATGCTAACCACTATACCACCAACGCAACGATATGTAAACATCTGGGAAAGAATTTGACGCGGTATGATGACGTCATGGGGAAACTTTTTTTTTCTTTTTTCCCCCTAGTTGCATAGCCGAACTAGTATGACAACTGCTCGTTTTAGAGTACTGAAAAATATATTTATGCATAAGACGGACCATAGTTACACACTCAAGCACATGACTTTTTCTTCTTTTCACTGGGTTCTCCACTTCCGGGTGCTTCACTTCAGCTCCTTCTTCTCGGCGCACTGCGTTTGCATCTTCAGCAACGTGTTGGATTAAGTCCGACTGTAGCATCGTTTACGGACATTGTTTGGTGACACAAAATAACTGACGTCCGACTGTCGCGGAGGAGTTTGTTTTCTCTTGAAGTATTTGAAAACGGTTAAAAAGAATTTGCGTTGGCCGGGAATCGAACC